AGATATTTCGTAGGAGTTTCTAGTCTATGATTCCTAAAGTTTCGTTTTTCCCTTTTCTCTTCTCTTCTTGCCTCTCTTCTTCTCATTTCTTTTCTCTCTTCATCGATATTTAATTTTGGAAGAATCCGAAAAGAAGGGATTTACGATGCACATTATGTTTTTTTTTTTAATTACGTTTACAAACATCGATCCTCAAGTCCACGATATACTACGCGATCGAGGATTGCGAATTGGAGATTAGAATTTGAGTCAGATAATTTTAATTTTATAATTCGTTTTGTTCTGATTGATCGAATTCTAATCTTCAATTCGCATTCCACGATCTCCAACGCGTAGTGTAATACGAGCTTAAAAGTCGATGACGACTTCGTGAAATCCAGAATTCATAGGTACTCAAAGTGTAACTAAACATCATACACGGGATCGTAAACCAACACGAACTTTAAGCCTTGTGACCATTATGTTAGAAATTCTCGCTTTGAGATCTTGGACGGAGAAAGAATTGATCAATCGCATTGGTCAAGTGGCCGAATTGTTCAAATGTGTTTTGTAAATTCCTTTTCCGTCGGAGATCTCGAAGCGATTTTATAGGATTGTGAACACAAAGTTCAAGTAAGTAATATCGAACGATCATCCGTACTTCGCGTATGTGGACGTCAAAAATCGATATTTTCCAAGATTTAGAATTATTGTACACATGTACAAAATTGGCGCTTCTAATGAATCGCGGGGCATCTCTGACCACACGCGCGCACTCGCTCGCTGCCCGCGTCGCGGCCGGTCGCGTTCTCGTTCGCCGGCGCGTGTCCACAATTGGGAAAAATCGCGGTTCCGTCGGAACGTGTTCGAGGGCCGACGCCGGCCTGGAGAGGTTCGCAGCAGCGAGGTCGATGTCCGGGCGCAACAAGTGCGCTCGAGACTCTCTCTCGCTCTCGCCTCCTGTCTTTCTCTTTCTGGACGCGTTCGCGATCGGCTTCGATAACGCCGCGCGACTTTCGACGGCGGCGGTAGCGGTGGCGACGACGATGACGATGACGGCGGCGGCGGCGGCGGTGGTGGTGGCGGTGGCCAGCTCTTTCGCCGATCGCGAAGCGTCGACCTCCGAAATACGCTCCCGAGACACGCGCCTCGCGTCGCGGCGCTCGCTCTCTCGCTCGCTCGCTCGTGCACGGATTTAGAGACGGCCGTAACGAGAGCGCCGGAAGCCGAACGACCTTTTTGAGGTTGCGCCGCGGCGCGCCAAGTTTTCGCTCCAGAGGGGGAGAGAGAGAACGAGAGAAAGAGAGAGAAGGAGAAGCTAAGCCAGTCCGGCGAGTAGTGACGCTCAAGTGTGATCAAGTATCGATCTTTTATGGATGAATAGATACTGTATACGTCACAATTGTTCGTTTTTTTTATAAGCTTTTAGGTGGTTGTATTAATAAAAAAAATGAACAATAGTAATCATATTGAAAAAGGATGTAATATATAATAATTATAGGTTTCTTACTGAGAGAGAAATCATATTATGTAAATGAAACGATTTTAAAATTATATGATTTTGCAAAATTTCTTAAAATTATGCAATTTTTGAACGTCCTATTTGAAGATTTTTACAGAAGATATTTCAAATTGTAATACTTGAATAGATCAATTTAAAGTATACACCAAATATTAGAAACTTCGCAGTAATCAAGTTTTTATGAATCTTTTGACGCGTTGTATTTGAAAAATCAGCAGACCTAATATACATGGAACAAGTATATAAATGTTTCCACCATATTAAAGTGGTTTTTCGACAACTGATAATCGAAGCGCTATCTCTCAACTAAAAACTATCTTAAAAATCCACACTCTTGAAAAAAAAAAACGGAGAGCTACGGGGGTCTTATATACTAAACTTTTAAGGTGGTTTATCGCTCAACTCGATAATGTGACGTCACATAAACGTCACACAATCGCATATGTAAGTCTATGCAAAATGTTTTTATTGAATTACGCTCGTTTTTACGGAATTATTAGTCTTATGGAGGGACTAACTTTTGACTGGGACTTGCACGATAAAACCACCTTAAAATAATAAGTCCCGACGAAAGAATTTACAAGGCGATAAGTTCGGAAACGAGATTCCTCTCCGATGTCAAAAGGATAAGAGATATCGATATTCGAATGCAGTACCTATCAAGTGTATTATCACGAGCGTCCCTTAGACCGCGCCGCGGCGCGGAGCCTCGGGTTGAGCGCAAGAGGTCGACGTCCGGGCGCGCAACAAGTGCCGCACTACGTACACGTATACACAGATCGCTACCTATCCCCTCCCCGCTGGGCGCGCGCACGTACACGAGGCTCGGCTTCTGCCTCGCTCGCTCGCACACAATCGCACACGACCACCGCGACGGCGGCGGCGGGCTCGCGGCTCGCCTCTCCGCCCCCTTGAGGGAGGCATCCCTCCGTCACTGTCCCCCTGTCGCTCGCTTCCTTTGCTTCTCTTTGCGCCACCTCGGCCGAGTGAGGAAGGAAGAGAAACACACGGGGGACGGACGGAGCGAGAGACACACACGAACACATGGGCGACACACGCGCGCGGACGAGCGGGGCGAGGGCGCGCTTTCGGTGGAACTGATGGAAGAGAGCGAGAGAGAGAGAGATGGGGGGGAACGCGTGACCGTGCTCCACCGCGCGCGCAACCACGCATCGTCGTACGTCGGTAAATATAAAACTGCACTGGGTCAGGGATCCGTGATTTATCGGCTGCCTCGTGTAATTGGCCGCCGGCCAATAGATACATACTCCCCCGGTTGCGAGAGAGAGAGAGAGAGAGAGAGAGAGAGAGAGAGAGAGAGAACGGGGCGGGAAATGGAGAAACGAATCTAGCGTTTTCACCTCCTCCTCGTCACCCTTCTCCAGTTTTCGTACACTGGCTACTTATTCCTACGCAATGAACTCGATCGGATTCCTTCAGTCTCCGAAATCGGGTCTGACTTGTTCAGAATTCTAGCGACGAGGAAAATGCCTTATTTTGCGCGCGTATAGCGTGAATAGCGTGCCGCATATAGCAGCATTTTTATAAGGCAAGTTGAGACAGCTAATTGACAATAAATCGCATTTTCTTTCTTTCATTTTTGTCTGATCGTTGTAAGTGCCGCCATGGCGTCGCGAGATTTTACGATCGCACGTTGTTGAACATTGAGAATCTAAGTTTGCTTCCTTCTTTTTCAAAGTGTTACAATTCACAGTCTTTAGCGAAATAGCAGCAAGACTTTGATTTTTGTTAGACGAATTAGTTTCCAAAATCTTTACTAGATGTGAATTAGGTTCCAACTTTAAACTTTCTTTAAAAATATTATCCCAAATTTTGAAAAAAAGTTTTTATGTAAAAATGATGCACATCGCGCTTTCCTCGATAAAACTTCGTTATTGATCCGATTGATGATTGCTTGAAACTTGCAAGGTCGCGACGAAACTTTTGGAAGGTTGTCGGTCTGTCGCAACGATTTCGCACAATACTCGTGTATTGCACTAAAAAGCGAGGGAAGATTTATTTCTCTCTCTTCTTCCTCGAACAAAAGAGACAGAAAGAGTGTGTAGTCGCGACATTGTAAATATCACGTATATGTTCGCGCGAGGAAAAGATAACCGCGGAATAGGAAACAATGGGGAGCGACGGTCGGGGTCTCACCACGCGGGAACGGTTGACGCACACTTTCGCGGAGGTCAAATTCCACGCGCGGCTAATGCCGGTCGCGAGCTGCAGGCTGAGCTTCAGCCGCTGTTGCAGTCGCGGCGACCTTCGTGGTATTTGTCAGGCCGTAAATAAAGTGTCGGTATCTGGAATACAAGAGCGGCGCGCGAGATGACGCGTCTGATAGATTGTCCGACGAAATCTAACGTCGAACTCGCGCGAATCTCTCGATCGTTTACGATTATCCGACTACGAGTTTTGCGTGCAGTATGTTCCGCGGGTGTTCCGCGCAACTTGTTCAACTTGAAAGTCAGATTCTCTGTATGAAAGCAATTCTCTCCTAGATGAAGATAACGAAGAATATGATAATTAAACTATTTTGCTAATCCGGGAATAGACACCTAGTTTCTTGCATAAACACATAAGATATTCGTAGTCTGTTCTTGTTTCAAGTCTGTCTTAAGTAATGTCTTAAGATGTTAATATGTTTCCGTGATAGGTTTATAACATCTTAAGACTGTACTTGAGAAGGTCTTAGATACGAGAACAGACTATGAATACCAGCTCTAGAGTTTTTTTTGCGTCTCAAATAAAAAGTATTATTAATTACATATTGTATCATGTATCATTGATCTGCAATTTATTTAACATTTGAGATCATTATATAATATATATCCTTACAAAAATCCAATTTAATACTTAAAATTACTTGTTTTGAATATTAAAAGCATTATTGTCCTTTTAATATTTAAAATAATTATTAAAATAAATGTTATAGCATTTCTTGCTATTAAAATAAATAATTAACTACTCTACCTTCCAATATTACATTTTCTGTATAAAGATATATATCAATACTTTCAACAAACAATATTTTCTTAAAAAAATAAAGAGAAATTTACAAAATAGATATAGATTCTCGATCATTAAAGAAAGCGTAAAGAAAACTATTATACTAATTGCGAGTTTCATTTTCTCGTTGCTGAGATGTAAAATCACTTTAAGTGATTAATCCCCGGGTTAAATATGAATATAAAATTCGATTAGATATAGTAACCTTATTTCTGCATTTGCTTTGCCGATGCGTCAAAAAATAATTAATGCGAATTAATTAATTAAGAATTTATAGAGGCAGGAGAGAAACTTCCGGGTGCGCCATTGTTCCTCCTCACCGAGCGCCGACAATTCCGCGTTGAAATTCGATACTACGACGTCACTCATGAATGAAGTTTCCCCCACGTGGACCGCGAAACTGCATGCGATCGCCATCTCTCGCGAGGCGTGCGAAAGCTGCGTGTAAACATTGAGGACATCGTGCTGTCCCTCTCCTTCTCCTTACCTTGATGCGATAAAAATCTCCGCCTCGAGGATTCCGGCACGTCCGATTTATCACTCTGAAAATACACGAACCGCGAATCTTAGTTCTGCGCTGCACTCTCACCGAGATCTGGAATGCCGATTACTCTAGTCTCCCGTTACAATGAAATTTCACGAGATTTCAATTCCGCGTATCTCTCTTATTACTCGATTCAGGAAATCTCGTTTTAAATAGCGCTAATTTGCTAGTCGCGAATTATATATGCATTCTTATATTAATACGTAAATTCTAATTCTAATCTCCGAAATTCCAATTTTTTTTTCTAATTAATATTTTTTATGAATTTCCAAGAATCTTGGAATGTACATATAGTTTAGAAAGGTATTCTGGGCAGATTAAATTTGGCTGAACGGCGCAACGATATTGTTCGTAGATTCTAAATATCACCTTAAAATTTGAATATTTTAAAATTCGTTATAATCTTCTCTTAAAAACTTCAGTTTTTAAATCTAGATCTCAGATCTGAAAGAGCCGAGCTCGAACCAGCTCGAACTACCGAGTCAAGTCAGGTTATGTTAGGTTAGGTTGTACATGTTCTGATATTTCGTGCAGCTTCTATGCTTGCGACCCTAATAATTTTCACGATCTTGAACTTGTACGATTTGACGCATTCAATGAATTCTTTCTTGCCATTTTGTATTTGTACATTTAGAAACTAGCGCGTAATGAGAGCACATGGCGTTGCGCGATACGCACTTTCGTCGATGGTTTGATGCCTTTCAGAATGGACTCGAATTTCGCGATATTGTCGTAGATCGGCACGGAGGACGCCAATTGCACTTTGGGCGAATATAACGCCTTCAACGGATCGAATTTCTCGCTGCCCGCGTCCAAACTCTCGTCCGACGTTCCACTGTTCTCATCTGCCATTGACAAGTCTATTCGTTTCACGTGTATGTACCTTTTGCACCAAACATACACTAATTCATACTACTGACTTGTTCTTTTGAACTGAACTGTGTCGGAATTTATATACTTAAAATAAAATTGCCATCCACGATTATGTTTTGGAAAGAAAAGAACGAAAAAAGAGTGCAGACTCAATGCTGAAAAGAACGAGCCATTGATGATAACACCGCAACAAACTCCACGTGCGTCGTAAAGCGCAGTCGCACTTTCGGCACCAGTGTTATCGAGGAGCAGCTGACAGCGCAAGACAGCCGCTAAGCGCGGGAAAAGTTTAAAATGAAGCCAATTTCAGATGATTTATAATTCGCGTCCGACTCAGGATAGCATTCCACTTATTATATATAATTTTATTATCCTGCTTTGTTATCCTAATATATGTGTATAATATTTTAATATTGTTTGCTTCAAAAGTGACACTAAAAAAACGTGATTTTTTGAGTTGTTATCATTGAATAAATATCTTATTAATCTTTGTGTTGTCTTATCAATCATCAAATATATTTGGGAAATTTAATTTTTTTAAATTGTCATTTTTGAAGCAAAGCGACAATATATGTTTTAATTTTTATTGAAAGAATCAAAAATTTTGATTCTTCTAATAGTATTTTTTGCGTTGTACATAATAAAGCTATTAAATCATTATTATCTGGGGATGGTTTAAACGATCGAATTTCGAGAAAATTTTGCGCGAGACGCGCACATTCGCGCCACGTCCTCGATCGGAAACGTTGATTACAGTTCGGTAATCAATCACGGCACGGTATTAGTTGTTAGACAGGAGAGGAGGATGTTAACCTCTACCTGTGGAAACTTTCTTTCGCGGTTGCGAGTTACGTAAAAGCATCGCCGGGCCGGGCATAGAAGCTGCATAGAAACGCAGTGGCAGCGGCGGTGGCGGCGACGACGGCGGCGGCGGCGTGGCGGGAGAGCGCGAGGTTACGCGCACAGGAAGTGAAACAGCGCTACGCGAAGCCAGAAAGAAAGTTCTCGCTCGGTGTTTTCACTTTCATGGAAATTGCCCGCGCCCCTCTTTCTCTACGCGATGGCATTACGCGAATTAGTCACGAATCATCAGCGTTGCTCGTCGCGCGCGGACGAGCTGCCTCGCAAGGCTATCGATCTACTTCCTCTTCAGAACGGAAATGTTTTTTTTTTTTTTAAAAAGATTCTTTCTTGGTAAACATTTCTATTTTCTATTCATTTGTATGTCTCATTACATGGTTGAAAAATTTATGTCCAAGATTTATAGATGTGTTCTTCATCGAATTTTGCGACAACTGGGTAGCTCGTCTTTGCGTTTAAATATACTCAAAGCAAAGAATTAAATACATAAAATGAGTAGTCATTTCAAGACTCTGACAGTAATACATGCAAAATAAAAATGATTCCATTTATTCCGATTTCTCTATCAATGTGTAGATTGTCTTTAATCTCAGTTTACTTCTTATGTTTTTCTAAGAATTAGGTAAAGTTGAAAAAACTGAGATTAAAGTTATTCTCTACATTGGTAAAAAAAATAGATTAGAATAATGTCTATATTTTTAGAAAATAATTTAATAATGAATGTTTTTTTTTGGTGTACTGAACTAAAATTATTAGGTATAGATTGTAATAATAAATTCGCGAATGTAGATAGATCAATTCGAATTATGCACGGCATCAATCTTTGAATGTCGTCGTTAAAATTTTAATTAAATTTAAACATTGCGATTTACAAATTATAATTCTCTCTCTCTCTCTCTCTATATATATATATATATATATATATGTGTATATATAAATCAAGGAGCACGCATGCATGAAAGGAAAAAGGGAGAGAGAGAGAGAGAGAGAGAGAGGGAGAAAGAGAGGGATTTTTTAATATTTTCCGCGTATAATATTACGTGCTGTATAAGCTCATGCGGGTACACACGGACACGCAAGAGAAAGTAACATTGTAATCAAGCTGCGTTTTAGCCGAGTTCAAATTAGAATTCAAACGAAAGTGCGAACGTGCAGTGCGATGCACCGGAAGTTGTTGCGAGATAAAGAGATCCCGTTTCGCGCTTAATTAACCGTTTCGTCGCTTATCTCAATTTATTAACGGAGAAATTAGAAGCGTTTACACGAGCCGCATCGACATTGCGTGCCCGTCATGTATATTTCTGATATGCGTTTCGATCTCTCGTGAATGAAGGAAGACTGCCCTCGCACGTTTGCGTCACGCGCGGAAAATCATTTTGAGTTTGGTGTTAATCACGTGTATTTTTATGATGCGCACACAATCTCTGATCGTGAATTCTGCTTTCAGGTGAACAATAGCGTGTAGAAAAGAAGGAAGTACCGAGTCAACTGGGTGCGGCATAGGCGGGAGGCGAAAGAGGCAGGGAAGTCTCGGAGGTGGTTAGATGTTAGAAGGCGCGGGGGTGGCTAAAGTGGCCCCGCCGCTAGGTACGGGTCCCGATGCCGGTCCCCGTATCGCAAACACCCACACTAACCTCCACCCTCGTGCCCAAGGAGGAATCAAACATGCCCTTCATAGACGACGAGTTATTTTGGTACTCTGACAATGATGGAAAGATGGATTTAACCCAGTGCCTTCAGGTGAGTAACCAGTAGACCGGATTTAGAATTTGCATTTTAGAATTTGAGATTCAAAAAGATTTCGGTAATAATATTCATGAAGTTTGATAGTAGAGGTGTGCGAATAGTTCGAAGCACAGTAGATTCGATTCGAGTTCGTTTTTGAATCTGTAAGACTCGAAATCGAATAGTTCGAGAATTTTGAATCAACAATGTTTCGATTTCGAATCGATCGCCTATTTTATTTATAACTCCTGCGCGATCAATTATTCTTATCTAATAAATAAGTATTTTTGATGTATGTAATGTATCTATGTAGATTAATATATAAAATATTCGAAAGCATTCGAACTATTCGTGTATACACATATATTATTAATTACATATTTTCTAGTTCAAAATGTTACACAAGATCATGATCCTTTGTAATGAGATGTAAATCGAAAACAGGTCTTCAGTTTGTTTAAATTATTGCGTAAAATAATGTAATTCATAAATTTTGATATTTATTACGTTTAATTTAACATGTAATGTAAATCTGGGGCAATTTGATTCAGATTCGATTCGTATTCGAATTAAAGAGATTCGATTCGATTCAATTCGATTTCGATTCGACCATGCAAATGCTTGATTTGCACATCTCTACTTGATAGAATGTGCGATGATACTTATATATAGGTATTAGGAAAAAGATTTAGTGCCTTCAGCAAAGCATTTTTTAAACAGCACATTAAATATTTTGTGCTTTTAAAAAAATGTTTCAATTAAACAGTTTTGCTGAAGGTACTAAATCTTTTTGAACGAGTAAAGCGGAAAGTCTGAAGAGATTTGAAGCATGAAACTTGAGAAATTTAGAATTTGTTAATGTTAATTTATAAAATGTAAAACCTAAATTGCATAAAATATTCACACAAAAGAAATGATTTTGCTGAAAATACCTATCTCTAAATTTAGTTAAATACAAATCTAAAAATAAACTTTATTAGATTATCAAAATAGTTATGTAGAACATTCAAATTGGTTACTAGAATTTTAAAATTTTTTGCAATATTGCTCATCATGTTTGAGTTTTCTACATAATATTTTACTGTTTTAACAAAATTATTTTTAGATCTATTGCTAAATTTTTAGATACTTTAGCAGAATCGTTCTTATCATGCAGATGTGCAAAGTCTGTGATTTATTATAATCTTACCTATAATATATAGCAGCGAAATAATATTTTAAATCATAAGATAAGAAAATTAGTCGAATTTCTGTCTTTATCTTTGAATTTTTCATGTTTTCAGCAGAGCAACACAGGCCAGTCGGTAGAGTTTTCTACGATGGAGTTGAGTGCTCTGGTAGGAACGCCGACGGCATCGAACGTGCCGGCGGAGGAAGGCGCGGGTATGTCCGGTGTCACAGGGGAGGAACTTTTTGATCCCCTGGACTTCCTACGGGAACTCGAGGCAGAGGCCAGTCAACCCACCTCCACCACAACGCCTTGCTCCTACAAGAGGCAGAGGCACAACATCGCCGCCGCGAATCCTCTATTAGCAGGTGAATTGTGTACTGTGCGTCATCCATCGCAATATCTCTTTTTGCAATGTAGACTAATTGCTTCTTAATACGTGTCTAGAAAAATTAGCAGCGCCTTCGACGCAAGCGTCTCCAACTTCCATCCCTTACGCCTCAAGGGCGGAAATCAAGACGGAGAACATCCAACCTGAAACGAGTAAAGGTAAGTGGTAGAACTTGTTGAATTTTGTCTGTCCTGCTTTAACATGCGTCGATATAGTAGAAAATGTTGATGTATATACTGACTAAGCAAGCTAACTTCTTTACCGACATGGTTACATCGGCGATTGATAATGTGAATTCCGCGAATACTTCTGTACCGACTAATGCGTAGATGCTTTCTTTATCTTCGAGTGGTCAAATCGGTGCACATCTCGATCGGTCAAATCGCTTTCCGCGCGCATGTCGGGAATTTAAATCGCGCACCGCTGAAAGGAAAACCGGCCAAGGTCCCGCGAATCGCGAGCAGACATCCGCGTTGGCGATAATTGCGCGTGTGTGACTTCGCGTACAGTGACTTGAGAAAAAAAAGAATATGTGCACGCGTGTGTGCGCTCGGTGGCCCAATTCTTATAATTTACGGTCGTGTTTTACTGTGGCTTACGCGCGCGCGCGTGTGTGCGAACGCAATTTGCGCTCATTTCGCGACTTTGCTGACAAACGCAAAGATGTATCCGCAAAAATGGCGCTGTTATCAAACTGACGAAAATGTCTCAGCGAATCTTGCTCATACATACAAGTGTACAGTGACTTTATTTTCAAGCGATAACAATCTTTTGTCTAAATCGGCTATGTCAAATGATAAAAAAAACATTGCCGACAGAAGTGATATTTACATTAATTTTATCGGGAATTACAAAATAGAGCTTATAAATATCTTTTTAAATCCTTTAATTGTTGAATGTTTCGATAAATATGATTTTGATGCTATAGATATCAATTAAAAGACAAATATTTCTTAGCAACAACTTGAGTATACAATTGGTTGCACATTTAATTTAGAAAAATGCAACGATTAAAAAAGTAATTAATTAGATGTTAGAATTTATATCATTTTTTAACATTTAAAAATTTATAAATAAAATTTTAATTTTTTACGATATAATTTTTTTCTAAAAGTTTGTACTTATATGTTTCTGTACATCTTAATGAGCCTTATGAACATCAATTCACAGAGAATATGTATGCACGACAATTCAATTTGTAAATAAATAAATGTATATGAATTTGGATTAAACAAGGGTTCTGAAAACAAGGAAACCTGGATTCTATAAATTCTACAAAGAATACAGCTCTTGCAATTTCTAATCTTCTTAAACGCTAAATTATAAAGATCGAGAGATGAATGCTAAATTATAGATTTTATTGATTTTACAATTCATTTTAAAGCTTAGAAACATATATTAAATAGAATAACAACGCCGTAAGATATCTTAATGAAACTTAAGTACACAAGAAATCTAATGTTAAATATTTACAATTTCTTTTTCATTTAAGAATTTTTATCGTTTTGCACGCGGGACCTGGTAGCCGATTGGTCATTCAGATTTTTTGCAAGTCTATTTCGACGCGCGGGTTTTGTCGAACTTTTCGACGAGGCGGTGCCTTGCAATTTTGTCCTGACCGCAGGCCGCGACGAGTAATTACGAGCCGTTAGAACACGAATTGAAATGGGTGCTCATCGTTGTTCTTTTCACATTTTTAGAAAGCGGTTGGAAAGTGAGAAACGAAACTTTCTAACAAAACTATTACAAATACAGTTCGAAATCTTGCTTGCGCCCCAATGTTATATCAAATTCAAATCAAATTGCAATAAAGCTGGAATCTACGAAAGCGGCAACACCATTGCTTTTCGCGGTAATAGCAATTTTCTCCACACGGAAAGAACAATTTTGCTAGATCCAGATTTGAAAATAATTTTTGTTTAATAATCAAAATAATTTTGTGCAAAGGTCAAAATGATTGCTAGTCATTAGTATATCAAAATATAGTTTTATAGTAATGCTTATCAGTTTTAATATTCAAACAAATTATTTTGATGATTCAACAAAAAATTATTTTCAGATCTGTATTTAGCAAAATTTTTAGACCTTTCAACAAAATCATTTTTTCCAAAATGATTGCATGAAAACCGAAGTTGAATGCTTGATCGTTTATATTTTCTTTTCATAGAAAGAAAAATAGGGAAAGAAAGAAAAGAAAGATTCTTTCTTTCAATAAATACTATAAAATTTTATGCTATAAAAAAAATTATATTATATTATGATAACAACAACATACATTGATTCTTATATATTTTACGGAAATTACATTGTCGAAAAATCAATTTTATTTATAGCGGGTTGAATGAGATATTGATATCTATTATATATCACACGAAAAAATTCAAGAAACATTTCAAAGAACCGTTTAGAAAATTCTCGTTGCGAAAAGCAATATCGAATGCAGCATGATGCACTTCTGGAGCTCCAATTTGCATTTCTACCTTTATTAAAGTATCTATCCACAATTTACATTTTACGCGCGAGCCAGCTCATTTTAATCCTACTTGAAACTATGTTTCCAATTGGGACGCGCGAAAGCGGCGATTAATCGGATTTATTAAGGATGTCTCGTGTTATCCGACATATTTCGATCGCGATACCCGGTGAACTCGTTAGACGAGCAGGAGGAAAGCGAGCGTGTACGTGTGTACGCTAGTTTTCTGGCGTGCGTCTTCGATACACAAGCATCACTTTCACCGAGCACTCGGTGCGTAACGCACGCAAAAACGGGGTTTTTCGCGTCGCGCGCCGATACGCTGCCCGTTACACGCTCGATCGAGCTCGGTCGCGCGTCGCGCCGCTTCGTGTCGGACGGATTTTCATTTGCGAGCGCGTGCGTGCGATTTATTAACATGCGATTTCCGTCGTGTGTATCTCTCCGCGTGTCACCTTTTCCCCATCTCGACCGCCCCGGTGGTGGCGGCGAAGAAACTTGCAGCCACTGCCGGCGGTACGAGCGTCGCGCGCTCGTGAAAACAAAAGTAGGGCAGAAGAAAGTAATCTCGCGCGTTAAACGTCGGAACGCGAATAACTATATAATTCACTTTCGGCTCGTTCCGTCACGGGAGCGATCGTCGGTGCAACATGCGCGCATTTTTTCAGGCGACTTTCCCGATTTATTAGACTGCGATCGGGGCGAAACGGCTTCGTGTGTGCCCGCCGAACTCTTTTGGTCATCACGTACTCTCGTGTGATTTTGTTGTTTCGGCAGATCCTAGTCCCGTATTCCGAACTTTGCGTTACGTTTCGTAAATCCTGAATTTCTCAATCTCCGACTCGTCCTTTACGAAAGACTTGAATTTTAGATCTCGTTAATCCCCGATTCTACATTATTGTCTAGAGAAAGATCTTTCATACTTCGGGTTTGATTCCGCATTGCACGAAATCTTAGATTTACAATTTTTCGTTTCGGCTTTTATTATCGAACTCTTGATTCCGTGCGTGCTAACAAATTCCTAGATTTAATATCAAACTCAAATTCTTCCACAAATAGAGACCTTGTGTGTTTTTCTATTTTCTGTAGATATTAGACTTCGCGGACGCACCGAGGTCCGCGTATGGCGGAAGTCCGCCGAGATCCCCCGGATTCTATCGCCTACAAGATTCTGTCCCCCGATAAGGACCCCCCTGCGTGGATTCACAGGGAGGGATTCCGGGTTCCACCGATCCCGGGTAGCCTTCTCCGGATTTGGGATGCCGCGGATTCCCGGGGTCCCGAAAACGGCCCTCCGCGTCGCGCCCTCGCCGTCGGAAACGATCCGGGGAATGGAATTCGTCTCGATAACGCGCGCGCGACGCGCGACGCGCACAAGTGCATCCGTCCCCTTCCCCCCTCCTCTCTCTGCCTCCTTCGGCACGGGATTTCCCCTCTTCGTCCCTCGTCTTCTATATGGCCGCGGCTGCATCCAGCTGTCCTCCCGCCCGTTCGCTGCACTTGTCGCTATACCCTCGTTCCCTTGACCCTCCCCAAACACATAAATTCTCCCCCGCGTCCGCCCGCTCCCCCTCCTTCCGTCTGTCACTGCCCGGTCGGGGCTCCACGGAAATAGATCCGTGATCCCGCGCGCCGACTTTCTCCGCTTCCTCGCCTAAGCGCGAAGAGAGCAGCAGGTGCACCGCAAAGATATTGGCGCCGATGTATCTCCCACTGATGTTATCGTCTTTCGCGTGTCACTCGAGATGCAGTCGCCACGTGACCGATTAATCTCCTTCCCTTTTCGCGCGGAGAAAATCTTTCGTCCGACCTTTAATTAACATGGCAATAAAATTATGGTATACGATGTTTAAGACAATACTTAAATCTTATACTTAAAATAATTTAATATATACTACTCGGTCTATGCTGAATGAATTGTGACGATATTTTAATTAACATAGCTGTAGATTTTGTGATCGATGCGTTCATAAGTTCTCTTTGCTGAATAACACGAATTATTAAACGTTTGTTAGTATTGGCGAGCATTTGTTCGTCTTTCGCTTATCTTTCCTTTTTTTGCCGATTCGTCGAGAAAAAAGATGCGGAACGTTTGAAGAATTATTAATGAAGGCGGTCGATATTCGCCGCCTTGCTACTACGCTCGTAAATCAATTATTAGCTAAGGACTCGGCGCATTTACAGTAATCATAATATGTATATGCCTTTCCATTAATGAGTAATAAGAAATATACGTTTTTCCTTCTTCCCCCCTCCGTCGATGTTATCGGACGGCTCGGGCAGGAATTGTTCGATATTATATTTCCCAAGTATCACGCGCGTTAAGTAATCGCGTGGGAACGGACGGGGCGAGGATAAATTGCGAATCTGAGGGAGAGCACTACTATGTATAGTGTGGGTCTAAGTAATTCTATGTTAATTGCTCTCGCCCTCCCGCGCCTCGCGGCGAGCCACACTTTAAACGGCCCCTCCTGATCCGAGCCGATAACTCGTTTTCAAGCGATTCCACTCTCTGCCATTTCGACCTTTTACGCTTTTCTGGGTTTCGTCCGCGATGTTGTTGTTTTACACAGCTGCCCGCGCGCTCGTCGGTTGCGTGCAGCCAGCAAATCCCACGCGACGCTGCACTTGCCACACTTTTTCTGGAATTCGCGATGCGATGCAACTGCAACTTTCTTGCGAACT